ATGTGCGTACGTACAAGCGCACGTATGGATAATAGAAAAGTAGACGAATTAACTTTGTCATAAGTTATATTTAAGTGATAGTGATAATGTTTTTTAGCTTTTAGCGAAGAGAACCGAGAATATTGTTTGTTAAAAACGCACATTTATACGGGCGTACAGCGCTATCAATATTGCACTTTAAGCACGCGCTAAACTTATTATATGTATACACAAATGTACATACATATATATATATATATATATACCTATAAATTTATTTCTACATTTGTCAAATAATTGTGTGAAGGAATTCAATAGAGAACTGTACTGCTGCTGCTACGCGTTAGATCTGTCCGAACTTTAATTCAATCATCTCCGAGGTGGTATCATCATAATATCTGCTTAAGGGCTTAATAGATTTTTTTCATTGTTTTATTCCGGAGAAGAAATTACCATTGATCTCATTAATATTATAATACAGATACGCATCTATATAATATTTTGTGTTCTCTTCTCAGAAATCGAAACCAAATGATGAAAGCCTGACAAAAAAAAAAAAAAAAATGAATGCGTATATGTTTATACATGTATGTATCGTTTAGCGAGGGTTATCCATCAGGCCGCTTTTTAAGTATTTAAGTACATATAGTTCGTTTACAATATGTTTTAGCTGGTGAGCGACAATGACGATGTGCATCAATTTGTCTTGTCATTAAAGAGAGGTTGGTTCGTTCGTTGATTCATACAAAGTGTATGCATGCGTGCGTGTGTGCGTGCGTGCCTGCTTGCTTGCTTGCTTGCTTATGTTTACTAATGAAATTTGATCTGTTTACGAAATATTGGTGAAACATTTAAAGAATATATATATATATATATATATATATATAATACATGTACACGAACATACCAACAAGCTGAGAAAAGGCCATCAAACAACAAGGATCTATGTGCAAACAAAAAAACAAATTGAAAAACATAAAATACATAAGAGACAAACAGACTCTTCATATTTAACTCCTTTTGCATTCGATGTGAATTCATCTGGTATTGTGTAACATCAATTCGATCTGGTTACGCTGACTATGTGTGGATTTTACTGGAAATCGTAATCTAAACCACCGCCTAAAGTACAAAGTAAACGAAATCGAAATAGTATTGAATTGGTTTAGTAGTTATGTAGTCACGCGCGTACGCACACCCAGTACGGTGGTGGTGCGTCGATAAAGTACAGAGAGTGAAGTACAAGATAGGCATTGGGTAAGCATGATATAAACGTACGTATCGACATATATATGTCGGCAAACAATGACGATCTACTGCCTCGAGAAGCAGCTGTAACTGTCAAAGCAAACATAAGCAATGATCTCCTGGCATATTCTTCTTTTGTCGATCGACGAGTTACGAAAACACAATCATCTATGAACGCGTAGGCATATATATATATATATATATATATATAAGATAATCATGGAAAGTCAAAAGGCTCGTGTTCATGCCCTTCCATTCCTTTTTGTTTCTTTTGCTTAATCTCTATAGAAACTCTATAGAAATGTTCCCATATAGGTTTATAAAAGTGTTAATAGACTTATATTATTTAAATAATAGAAAAAATAATTAAGTAACAGTGCAATTGAAATAGTACTTGTATGTAAAAGGAAGAAAAGTGCCCCTAAATGTACCCCATCATCATCATCATCATCATCGTCATCATGAATGGAGAAAAAGGTGTACTTTTCATTTGCAACTCAATGGAAAAGGTTTGAAATCCATCAATCTTATGCTATGCCAAGGCATGACATATAAATTGCAAAAAGTATCAAATGTGTGTGTTGCACAAACGGCGAACTACTATGCACCTTTTTTTTTTTCTTTTTTTTTTTCTTTTTTTTGTTATACAAAACTAACCGCAGAAGGATTTTTGGGTTTAATTTTCGAGTGTTTTATGTTTACTCGGGAAAGTTAACATAACTAGACATAAAATTTAAACATAAGTAAATAAGATGGCAGGGGAAAGCCTAATAATAATAAGTTGGTAAGTTTTTGCTTCGTTTTGTTGCTTCATTTATTACACATTCAGAAATAAACTTCACACAATGCACATATATAAAATTTTGTATGTCTGTCTGTCCATTTGTATTGTGTTAACTTAACGAAAGCATGCAATAAGATAAGGATTAATTGCTTTATTGAACAAATTGCGTTACCTTTAATGTTTGCAATGTTTGTACGTACAGTGTACGTTTACTATGCTTATGAATAGAGAAGAACAGAATTTTTCTTGTTTTTTTTTTTTGGGAATTGTATAGAACTTCGGTAACTGCATGATTTCAATTTACATGTGTACGTACAACTGTAATGAAAATAAAAAGCAATTGCTTTGAGGAACAATGAAATGTGACAACAAGACATTTTTGTAAATCTTGAAATGTTTGTTACAAACATACATACATACATACATAAATGCATACATACATACATACATAACTATGAGTATATGGTTGCATGCATGCATGCATGTATGTATGTAAGTGCAGAGCATATATGATCCTAAAATAGTGATCATCCTTTTCGGATGGATATGAAATTCAAATGTATTAAACCGTTTGAGTTTTAATAGTCAAATGACCACTTGGTCTATTGATTGCAATCAGTCAGTCAGTATTGCACAATGAACAGCGTGAAATGCATATTTTCGCACGACTCAGAAATAAATTTTACTAAAAATGCCAAACATGCTAGCTTTAGCCAAGAAAGCATTATCAGATCGTACACTGCAGGCTGCAACAACTCTATTTAACCATCTTGTGGCGGCTATATGAACGTCTCACTTGTGACCCAATAGGTGTTGATGTCAATTTGTGTGCGCGTACACTATACACTATAAGCAATAGCCCATAATACGCTATGCATGCATTACACAAACAATACACACACACACATATATGCATCTATATATACATACATACATACATACATACATACGTACATACATATATATAAAGATACTTACTTACAACACCTATCATAAAAGAACTGCTGTTGAAGGTTTCTTCGGAAATCGAAGAAATGAAAATTCATTGGAAATGTTTTCTTTTTACTTAGTTTTAAGAAATTATGTTCTCATTTTATTGCTGCATTTTCTCCAAACTTTTCGTCTTTATCGAATTCATCTGTGGCCAAAATGCATTTGCATATACTAACATATAACCATGTAAAATACTTGTGAAAACACTGTCAACATACGCGTGCGTTGTTGGGTTTTTTTTTTGGTCCATCATTACACAACGCAACATATGTGTGATTCTAACGTAACCACCCTGGGTATAGAAATAAGCAAAGCAAAAAAAAAAAAAAAATAAATAAATAAATAAATATATTTTAGCTACAACAGTTTTATCAGACAAACCTAAGAAACAAATTGTTTTTCGTGTGTGCCACATGTGACACAAAACAATTAAACTTAAGTGGAAACGATCAAAAATTACAAATGCGAGATCGCAAACCACACGGATGGCACATATGCATATGGAATATGCATCTATTTGCATAAATTAACTCAAAAATGAATTTGAATTATCATTAAAGTTGGCCGATCCACCCTCAAAGGATACAATACAGCATGGCAATGCAACCCCATTGCCATGAGTCATTCCTCTATTATAACAATTTACTCATTTATGTAGCTTTCGTTGTCGGGCCAATTGGAAATGCCATCAATTTAGCTTTGCACGCGGTAACCGCTTGCTTTTGTAAGGGAATCCACCTCCCTGTCAAAGTCATGTAGCGTGACCGAGTCCACTCTGATAAGAACATTTCAATAGCATCTCTAATAACGATATCTGCACGCAGACATTCCGTAACATCTGTGGTATACAGGACGTACATATGTACATATATGTGTTTGTGTGTGCTGCAATATATATATAAATATATACATATATACAAGTTATAATAACATAATTTTTGTTATATGAAGGGAATATACGCTGTCAAGTTGTGACCGACTCTTGCAATGGGAAGACATTATTTAATCGGACACTGCCTACAGCAGTCCTCAGATAGTTCGGGGTAAGAATAAATAAAACAAGTAAGAAGTTTATATTCGGCTTTGGCTAAGTTTTTTATGCTCATTTTTCAATACTCTAAACTTTTGGGCGGAATGGAGCTTTTTATCGCCATACTAGTCAAGAGCATACATACTTCGCAGCGCCTTTGAAGCACCCAGTTGCGTGTGGCAGACGTTAAATTTGAACATGCTACAATATTTGATAGGCACGTTGAATTTTTTTTTATTCTTCTGTAGGTACTCATCATCCATTAATAAGCGTGGAAACTGTTATCGTTGTATGTATTATGGTTCACAAGTCATGGGCAAAAAACAATTTTTTTTATGGTTTGAAAAACACAATCGCCTCAGTTTGCAATGCTGTGTGGGAGTGTCCTTCAACTGATGTGCTCCATTGTCAATATTAACCTGCTTGCGAGAAGTTTCAATTTTTCTACCAAATCTAAGGTCGAACGCTACGTTTTTATGACCAGTACAAAGTTTACCAAAAACATTACACAGACAGACAACCGTCGCTTCAGAATTTGATTTTGCTACGGCTGCAAGCACTCTGCGTGCTACGAACGTTCTGTCAAACTGATATATATATATTGCTCACCCTTCGATGATGAGTATAGAAATTTCTGCGCAATCATTGGTTTTCCATTTTAACAGAGGGCAAAATGACTTCAAAAGAATTTTTAGCAGTCTCTAGCCATCTAGTAATTAAGTCTTTATATCGTAACACTTTGGTTAGTTGTAGAGTCTTTTATTATTGATAAACATATCTTAGTTTAATGCTTATCTTAAAGATATTTATGTTTACGTTCAGTACACGAGTAGACGAAGTGCTTCAAACATGTTATTGGAACTCTTTTCATCTAACGCCTAGCGCACCATCTAATGTGACACATTTTTCTTGTATCTCGTTACATAATATAATGGAGTATAGAAACAAATTGAATAACTTTTTCGTTTAATTTAGACGCCTCCAATTAAGTGGGAATAAACGTTTCCATAGCTCATAGCGTTGAAGATTTAAGCCTCCACGCATCACTAAATTATCGCCAATGTCGAGATAATATTGCCGTTTATAGCTGAATGGTCGCCAACGAATATCACGTAATTTTTCATCACTCGGCTTATTGGGATCCCTTGGAGATTTTATAAAAATATTTCAGTTTTTGATTTTATTCATCAAAAATTAAATAATTGATTATTTAATTTGATATTTACCCCTTGTAAGCAAATGCCGTAAACATTTTTGTTAAAATGATGGCCATATGCAATTCGTCGTCGTCCTCAGTGAATATACGGCTTACAGCTGGGATGACAAACAGATACATAAGATCGTCGTGATGAACTACACCTGTTTATGAATAAATGATGCTTCACTCCTTTACTTAGCCGAAAGCACTTTTCTTAACATGCTTACCGTAAGGTTCATTGTCTGGAAAATAAATATAGCTCCGCTGGCCGGGATAAGAAAACTGATAGTAATAAATTTTTGTGTAACGCGCTACCAAGTTAACGAAACGATGTGTTGCGAAACCAGTTAAGGCATCCGAATAAAGATGAGCCAAATCATTTAATTCTATCGGTTTGCTTTTGAAATAAAATTTCCACAACTCGTCGCTAATATTAAGTGACTTTGAATTGTTATTAGCATCGTAAAGGAAACAGATTGGAGCGATTTTATGGAAATTATGCTCAAAAGTATCTAAAATTGTTTCGTTTTCCAAAATGGCTACAGAAGATAAATAAACCTTAAGGTTGAGTACATGCATTAAGAAAGCTTTGGCCAGTTTTCAGTTTACTCACATAGCGCTGGTCCCACGAATTCATCCTTAGTCATACCAATAATTATGGGTATCTTCATGAACTCACCGTTCTGATAGGTTCTGACAGGATGTTCGACAAGAAAACGTTCTTGACCGAAATCCTTTTCGACTACCGGTTTCCAAAGCATTAAAGGATTCTGACGTCCAAATTCAAACATGTATGGTAGAGTGTTGGCAAATTCCAGATGATGTTTCTACGCACACACAAACACACCATAGCTTAATGAATTGCAAGAACATAATAAAAAAATTTATAAAAATTTCTTTACTTGCATTAAACATTTCATAATATCCGTTAGATTGCCGGTCGGACATTGTAGCAAATGGGCTTGGCGTTTAGCTAAGTGCATCTGATGATTAGGGAAATCCCATTGACCGGTAGCGGAACCACTCATTATGATTGCCTTATGAAATAAATTGCGCGACATTGGCGACACTAAATGCAAAGTTATACTAAAACCTCCGGCACCATAACCAAGTAATGTAATTGAACTTGGATCACCGCCAAAACGTGATATATGCAATCTCAACCATTTGAGTAAAAGAACTTGATCTTTTAGGCCTAGATTACCGGGAGCTTCCTTTGTGCCTGTACTGAGAAATCCTAAAGATCCCAACCGGTAATTAAAAGTGACCAAAACTATGCTACGATCCATGAAGTAGTGAGGGCCCGCAAAGTTTTTACTCTGGCCAGAGAGTGAGTAAAATCCACCAGGATGAATGAAAACGATAACCGGTTTCTTTACATTTGGATTGCTTTCGCTGGGCAGATCTTTCGTGTAGATATTTAAACGCAAACAATCCTCAGATACGTCAGCACTATTAAGACCTGGCTGAGGGCACATCGGACCATCAAAAGTCGCATCGTAAATTGTAAACCATTGTTCTATCGGCTCGGGCGGACGAAAACGTAAATCATCAATTGGCGGCTTAGCGTACCTTATACCGCGGAAAGCATAAAAATTGCGGCCGGATTGAGAAGTTAGCAGAGTACCACGTATCTTTCCTAAGGCTGTAGTCAGCACAAGATCTGATAATTCTTTATCGCTGCCAATGGGAAAATCCTTTGAAATTTCTAGAAATTTTTCACTATTAACTTTTTCTTCACAAAAAGAATGCGGCAACACAATGCTAATTATACAAAGAATAATATCTATGCGTTTTAACATATCGCGTTGGCGAAATTTCCAAGCTTACTAATCCAACATTGTGCCTAAGCTAGCTTTTATACCTTTCTTTCTACGGCAGAGAAACTGAAAGAAGAAAATAAAATCATGGATTAATGGAACTCCACTATTACTTCTGACGTTTGCAAATTAATGATTTGTTTGAAATCTTTTTAAATGAACAAAAAATGAGAGAACATCTTCATCGGTTAGGACCGACAACGAAGTCTGCTACAGGCAATTTCCTACACACTTGCATTTTCTGTAGCCACCTCAATAAAAAGCAACGTGATACCAAAGTAAAATTAATGATTGCTTCGTTCGCATGCAGAAGTTAATCGAAAGCAAGGAAAGTCCTTATGAGCAGAGACCATGGGAACAAGATTTTACGTTTGATGACGACCCAGTTACTTTTATCTGGGTGCAGTCGTTTTAAATCACACACACGGTTACAGTTGCAATAAAAGGATATTTAAACTCATATGATCCTTTATCGTAATAAAAAATGTAAGTAACGCGTTGTGCCGCTTAAAAGCAGATAACATACGGCTTTATGAATACCTTTAACTTTCCAGCGTATAAAAAGTTGTAAAATATATACCAGGTCTGCTCATTTGTGCTAGAAGAAGATTAAAAAAAAAAAAAAAAAAGAAATAGAATTAACTTCCCACACACACCTATAAATTAATAGTTTCACACACACACACACACACACATAGATCGCTGAAGATTCCTGTGTTGACCGCATTAAAACGCTAATAAACGCTGACACGATGATACGTGGTTTGAGGATGATTTTTTTCCCACGTATGGAAAAAATTGCGTGCTTTTAGCTAATAAGAGTAAAAGAGCGTGAAAAGGCCGCAACCTATACCTTACCAATAAGTAAGTAAAGTAAATATCAGAAAAAGTCGACTAATAATTCTCTTAACCACGGCGCAACAAAGTGATAATTACTTGAATGCTTAAGACACTCTCTTTCAGTGCCTTTGCGAACAACCCCTAATGTGAAAATAACACAGTATGAGGTATAAAAATTGGACATGCAGAGCAATCAATTATTGCTAGAATATCGGAAATATTTTAAGAAAACTATTAGAAAAATTAAATCATCGAAAGGCAAACAGTCGTAAACGTATGCGGCTGAAGCATCTGCCCACACACTGTGATAAGATCACCAAAGTCAATATGTCAACATCGACAGTTTAGTGCAAGTTTGTTCTTTTTTTTTTCATTTTTGCTCCTTTCAATATATATATGTAAGTCATTATTAGCTTAGAGTAAAATTACCTCTGAAATGATCCTAAAATAACCTCAGCTGCATACTATAATAAACTCTACCACCCAGAGATGTCTAGCAAACTAACCAACAAAACTAATAAAAACCGTCCCTAGTTTTAATAACTATTAAAACTGTTCATGTTGCCGTTTCCGAAACGACAATGTCCAACCACAAACCTACGAACACTACACAATTGCGAATGCAAAACAAAAAAAGGTACTAGAAAATGTGTACAAAACATGTTCGCACCTCTTAATAAAAAAAGGTAAGAGTATAGTAACAAGACTGCGACGCCGAGTGTATAAAAAAGGAATCAATGAAAAGAAAGGTGAAAAGACGAAATTTCTGCACCTTACACGATTAACAAAGAAAGATATTCGGTGTTTTGTTCCTAAGAGAGAAAGAAGTTTTTTCATTGTCTTTAAGTGTTTTTGATTGTTTTGAATGGGAAAAGAATTTTCTTGATGGGAAAAGAATTTTATTATTTATATTGAGTATAAGTGAGTTACAAATTTTTGCATAATCTTTTTATACTTAAAGGCTCGATGTAGAGTGCAGAAATCTTTGTAGACGCACGAAACTGCGAGGATTTTGAAGCAAAACAGCAAAACATACTCACACGCATAGTAATACTTGGAGAAGAAATCATTGTTACAAGCTAAGAATCCCACCTGCCGTTGCAAGTATTCCTGAGACTCGTGCCAGCGACCGTGCAGTGCTTTAGAACGTGAAGTCTTGAAGTCAACTAATGACATCAGGCAACAAACACTCTGTTAAGATGTTGCGGTTTTTTAAACCACACAATCTCTCTCGCACTTCACACACAATAACACAACAGCACCGTCATAATCATCGCCAGTTTCATCAATTGCACAGCAATAAGTGCAGACGTTCATATATTCAGAATGCAAAGGACGTACAGAATGTCAACTAATAGCAGTGTGTTTAAAAAATCAGACGCATATGCATAGACATACGCTTGTACACATGTAAATTACGAAGCACGTACTAATAACAGCTGCTTAGTGTGGATGAATATATTTCTGTGACTTGATGGCTTAGCATTTAAAAATATTTTTCAAATTTTAATTTTTTTTGAATTTTTTTGAATTTTTTTTTTTTTTTTTCGAGTTGACTTAGAAGAAAAATAAGTAATCGAGCTTGTATGAAACATAAAGTCAATCGATCATTAGCAGACATATTACAATGGCTCAGTCGGATGTCCTTGAGTGTTAGCTAAGACGAATGCTCTGAATTGGAAAAAGCCTTTAAATGGATTTTTTAAGACTTAAGTATGACAATTTTTATTAAGTATTGAAATCTTAAGTGTTATCTTAAATTACGAAATGTTTACGTATTCTGCGGTCGCATTAATAAAGAAGAAGAAGAAAGTGAATAACGAACAATGAATGAATGAATGGTCCCAAAATGGTCAAACAATGCTCGACCACTTGCCTAATGCTCTTTTCATAATGGAAAAACTCATAAATTATCCAAGTTATGTGACCCTTGACGACCTCGTTTTCACTAACATACGTAGTACGCAGTAGACACATACTCAACAATTAGATTTGCAATGCATCCCATTCTTCTGATTTGTTATGCGTACATATATCCATCCATCTATCAAATGTAAGATATGTAAACAAAAACGTTTGTTCCTGCTTTTTCTTTTTTTCTTTCTTTCTATAGTTTTATTGTCCTGTTTATTTGTAGTATTTATCAGTTGAAAGAGTGGCAATGTGAGGTTGAGCGTACTTACGCCCATTAAGCAGAATGCATTCATTGTCCTTTTTTGTTTTTTTTTTTTTTATTGTTTGTTTGAGATTGCTATGGCACATTGCATATTTATTATTAATTTTTTGTGCTGTTGTGTTGTTGTGATGTTGTTGCCGGAGAGAAATCATCGAAGCGCACTTTTATACATATTCGGTGTTATTGTTGTTTGATTATACCTTTAATTTTTTTTTTTTTTTTTTTTTGGTTTGCATTGTAATGACTGGCGTTGGGGTCGTTATATAGTTATGCCATGCCTTCGATGTTTATATGCATGTGTGTATTGCACACATAATAGAATGCTAATTTTCGCTTGTTTTCCTGGTATACACTGATGATTACCGTACATATCGTAATGAAATGTTTGAAAAAATTGATATATACCTTATTGGTATTTGAAGTGCACAGAACCAGAGAAAGAGAGAGAGAGAGAGAGAGAGAGAGAGATTGAGTAGCTAATGATGCTTCTAATAAATTAAACATTTTGACACTTTGTAAAACGTTGTAATGAATTTTCAAATTTAATTCTCTATGTGTGTGTGTATATTTGTACATCAGATTTGACAAAATTCATAATTTATATTTTCCTTTCTTATTCCCCTCCTACAAAATTGCATTTTAGTTTATGTTGGTTTCATTCTATTACGATCGAAAAACTTATTTTATTTACGCAGTCACAGTTCAGTCACCTGATGTCAGATAAATAAATTCATTTTATAGTCAAGCGTTGACCGATTACTGATTTATTTAATTCTTTTATATGCCGTCCATTTCTACGCCTATAAATAGATTTTGATATCCCATCCATTTGAAGTGATTAAGCGCACGCCACCTCTATATAGGCTGCATATAAATGGAGTTAATTATTATCCATGCTTGTGAAGAATTCATTTGTTTATAACTTTGTTTGGAGGATTGGCGAGGGGTCACACACTTTATGTGCATTAAAATGAAAAATTAAATAATCCATCAATAAAACTGCCATTATGAGGACATTGACATTAAAAACAATTTTTCCTTTTTTTTGCGACTTTTTGTTGCGATTTAATCCTAACATCTATAAGGAATAGAAAGTTATTTTATTTGCGATAGTAACTGAAATATGGCATAGTGGGCCAATGAACAGGACAGGACAAATGAACGTGTTTAAAGCGTGTTCTAAACGTGTTCTGAAAGCTTAATGTAAAAACAATTCCTTTGGCGCCGTGTAAACGCTATTAACGAGATAGTTTGCACCTTATCCATCCGTCTATCTATCTGATCAAATAGAAAAATACAAATTCAAAAATATTCTCTTACTCACAAATCAAGTTTTGAAGTTGGTACGATTCTTGCTCGCACATATCCCATACATGAACAATGCACAGCAATTTTAAGCAGATATTGATGTAAACACACACACACACACACACACACAGGAAATCATTTAAAACTTTAAAGAAAAACATTCTGTAATTTGTTAACGAAAGTATATACAAACGGTAATGATATCAGGGAATTACAGCATGTGATGTACTACACTTTAGCACCTAATCAAAAACCACTGTTTTCTGATCCGACCAAACACAGAGTAACGTGTTCCTGTCAGATGCGAGTTAGTCTAGCCGCAGATGTTGGTGACTTCCCTGAATGTAAGTATGGATTTGTACGTCTGGATTTCTCAAAACAAGTCTATTTTTCTTCTTCAGTTAGGATATGATGCAAAAACGACTTTCTTTGACATCGTTCGGGCACAGGCAATATTCTGTCGACATTCAGAACGAAATTGCTCATTTTCATTGGTAAAAAGAGTATTTTTATTTTGAGATTTATGGTTGGTATGACGACTGTAGCCAGATCTCTAAGCGTAAAAGAACCAAATTTCAGACATATAGGTCTTCTCAGTTTAGTATTAGGACCATTTATGGGAAAATTTCAGTTTCATGTTCACATACATAGTGCGTTGAATCGCCTCCCAAAGGTAATAAGCGAAAAAGTCTCCTTC